GAAGGAAGAGTACTACAAGAGGGGGAAGAGACAGATGTTAGAAGTAAGAGAGGGAAGAGGAAGACGACGAGTAGGAAAGGGGTAGAATAGCGAATTAGTCCAAGGCTTATGCAAGAACTCACTATGGTCTGAAAACCAGGTCCAGGAGTTTCTCTCTCTCAATGACAGCGATCAGGTGTCCCAGTATTATTTGAAGCGCTAAAACCGTGTGGGTCATTCGGCTCAAGAACTGGTGGAAGCTCGATCCTCCGTCCACTAATCACGACCTGGTCTCTGACCAGCAAAGCTGTTGGTGGTGGTAGACCACTGGCTGGGATTTGTGTTACACTGCTGACTGCTCCTCTTGGCCTGCAGTTCTTATTTACGCGGAATCCTTTGAACGTGTCCTTATGGCCTCAGTTTGGCTGGAAGTTGCAACAGCCATCCTCTACAGGAACCAAAGTTTTCAAACCAGAAGATTAGCAATAAAGTGGCTAAAAATTTGGAAACTTTGTGGATGATCTTGTTTATTAAAAAAAAAAATTGCGATACGTAATTTTATCGGAATGTTGGTTAGTGAAAGCATTAGTACAACAGCCTCAATGTCAGAGAAAAGACGAAAGATTAAGAAAAATGTTTGCAGATGAAACAAACAGCGAGAAAATGGCAGATACGAGCTCAAGTTATCAATTCAAGACAAATGTTATGCTCTTCTTGACTGTCATATTATAAACAAGAAGATACGAGGCAACAAGAGAGCGAGAGTCAAATTTTAAATATTTCGTGGAAATATCCAGTAACGTGTCGATGACGTAAAAGAAAAAGCTGGAAGTCTGAGTCCGAGGATCTAGTAGAGGAATTATTACTTTTAAACAGTATTCATACACAAATAAAGGAAAACACCAACGTTTCAATGACTCGAGAGTTTACTTTATTTAGAACCCAACGTTCTACTTCCAAATGCATGCATTGTGCTGAAAGTATTTTGTAGTTACGGTTGCAGAGGCAGAATGCTCTTAGTACTCGGGGAAAGGTAAAATGCTGGAGAGCAATTGTGTGTCAGAGTTGATTCAACTGAAGGTGTCACGGCAATGGAAGCTTGTTGCCACGAAAATGTGATGTTTATGGCATTATTTATTTGCATTTTAGCTGTAAAGCTGAAAGCTTTCTTTTTTGAACAATACTCAAGTTCTCTTCCTCTCTCTCTCTCTCTCTCTCTCTCTCTATATATATATATATATATATATATATATAATATATATATATATATTATAAATATATATATATTATATATATATATATATATATAATATATATGCAATAAGATCACAGTAAACAAGTGATTTCGAATATGCAAACAACCACTGTCAAAGAATAGAGAAATTCCAAGCGCTTTCGTGATTACTCACGTTATCAAGGAACAATGAGAAAACTAGGAGAGAAGAAAGGGAAGAGTACTACAAGAGAGGGAAAAGACAGATGCTAGAAGTAGGAGAGGGAAGAGGAAGACGACGAGTAGGAAGGGGTAGAATAGCGAATTAGTCCAAGGCTTATGCAAGAACTCACTGTGGTCTGAAAACCAGGTCCAGGAGCTTCTCTCTCTCAATGACATGTGAGTAGTCACGAAAGCGCTTGAATTTCTCTATTCTTTCACAGTGGATGCTTTGCACACACACACCACACACACACACATTATATATATATATATATATTTTATATATAATATATATATATATATATATATATATATATATATTATATATATTTATATATAATGTCGTGCTGAATATATGTTATTATTATTATAATCACGGGGGAGCACTAAAGCCGAATATGTAAAACTTGTGATTTTGGATTGAATAGCAACGCTCTTCTTGCCAAATAAGACAAGCGAAAATTTGTGTATGCAATAATTTCGCAAAAATCTTTCTGAACCTAACGAAAAAAAATGTATTTCATTGTGTTAATATATTTTAGATGAGTTTACAGTAATAATAAAGCAGGATTAGCCTAAATTAAATTGCGCTTTTTATAATAAGGTTAGGAATATTTTCTAAGGTTCTTTTGGTACAAAATTATTAATTTTTACATTAACATAAATGGAAAAATATATCTTTAAACGTATAAGAGAAAATTTTAGAAAGGACTAAATTTTAAACGAGTTCTTCCTGACTAGTTTTACCTATTCGGCACGACATATATATATACACACACACACACACAAACAGAACAACCACTGTGAAAAGAATAGTGAACTTAAAAACGCTTTCGTGATTTCCTCACAGTGTCAAGGAACTATAAAAATAAAAGATTAGCAGAAGGCATATAAGGGTAAGGTTCCACTGCACGGTCAACGTGCAACATGTGAACCTTTTATGATGATGCGGGTGAGGTGGTCAAGGACCACCTCACCTGCATCATAAAAATATTACTATACTCAGGGGGAAAGCGCTAAACCTGTGAGGATATCACACACGAACAAGCTAGGAAACGAAAAGCAAGCACAATCACGCTTTTAGAGCGTAGCTCTAAAACCTTGGAGCAAGAGGTCTTCAACGGCATCAAAGCGTCCTCCTTTGAAGAAAACATAAGAGACTTACTAAAGGTTCGATCCGAGGAAGAGGAATCGAGCAGTCATGCTAAAAAGAGCTTTCTTCTATTTTAAACAGACTTCTCCGGTGAATTTATTATTATTATTATTATTATTATTATTATTATTATTATTATTATGTTATTATTAAGCGTGAGCGTGCTAGATGAGTGTGGATGCAAGTGTTTTTCACGACTTGACGTGGTATTGAGCAAGGGAATATTTATGAAGGGATTCAGGGGAAGCCGGGAGTCCTGGAGGAAGTCCGGTGTGTGAACTCTGAAGGGGAGGGTGGGAAGGTCATCTGAGCAGTGACGTCAGCACTCTTCTGGCAAGACACTGAATGAGCGACTCCTCAAAGATTTTCCTCTCTTTTCCGGGTCACCGTACTATTCGGTGGGAGGTGGTCGGTGTTAAAAATAATAATAATATAATAATTTATTAAGCTGGTGCTGTACTCTCGGCTTTGTACCTCGAGCAGGTACAGAATCAAGCCATGAGAATTTTCAGCTGCTCTCGAAATGAGAAATTTACAAATCTTAATAAGGATTTAGCTGAATCTACCGTCCATCTATGACAAATTACGAGTTAAATATTAAGAGGTAATGTATACCTGGAGAAAGTTTCGGGGGTCAACGCCCCCGCTGGCAGGTCTGAGACCAGGTCTCGAGGTACGGCATTCCTTCTAGCGACATTAACACTGCACTTTTTTAAAGACGGTATCAGGGAAGGAATTGTAAAATGTAACAGCCAAGACTCAAATTACTATCAAATTCGTAAATTACTAATACGACTACTACCACCACTGTTGCTACCAACTACTACTACTACTAACAGCAGGAGCTGCAGCCTGCCGTAGCCCTTGTAGTTACAGGGGGTGTGTGAGGGGTCTTGACAGTGATGAAGGTGGTGATAGTTATGATAATGGTGGTGATAGATGGCGTAGGGTCATGGTGCGACCAGCGAGAGGGTGCGAGGCGGAAAGGACGATGAACGCCTTCTTACTGAAGTCTAGTTTCACACACACACACTCCAGGGAACATACACTTCCTCCTTGTACGCCAGACAGACGCTACAGCCCTAGTTGCTACCCGCCTCATCCCTTAGTCCCACACACCTCCGTACGTCAGGCGAACGCCGCCTTGTCCTACACCGCTGATGGACTATCGTGAGAAACTGTAGTTCCCAAAGCAGAGTAATTCCAGCTCTGCTGAAATGAAACTGCTGAAGCCTGCTGTAACTGCTGAACACGTAGTAGAGCACTGGACGATATTCTCACTGTTTTACCATCCTGTATGAAGGAATATGACAGGACAAACTATCCTGTATGAGGGAATATGACAGGGAAAACCATCCTGTGTAAGGAAATATGACAGGTCAAACTATACTGTGTGAGGGGAATATGACAGGTCAAACTATACTGTGTGAGGGGAATATGACAGGTCAAACTATACTGTGTGAGGGGAATGTGAGAGGTCAAATTATCCTGTGTGAAGGGAAAATGACAGGTCAAGCTATCCCACCTGACAGGTGCGTTAGGTAAACATAGCTCTTGGGCTAACCTTGTAAAATATCGCATAGCTCAGGACAGTCGCACACTGTGCATGTATCTATCATGTAACTCGCGTACAATATAGTGTGGCTACACACCGAAGGTGTTCCCACCACAGAACGCCTGTTCCTACAACGGGACTGGTGTTCCTACAACGGAACTGGTGTTCCCACAGCGGGACTGGTGTTCCCACAACGGGACTGGTGTTCCCACAACGGGACGGGTGTTACCACAATGGGACGGGTGTTCCCAC